CACTACACAACTCGAAGCATTGAGGTGATTCATCCCCGTGGTATTAAAGTCGGCTATTCTTTTCTCACTCTAACAACTGAAGTAAACACGCCTTTGGCCTCGTAGGACGACAGCATCATTGCAAACATCCATGACACCAAAGCCTGCGCCCCATAAAGAATCGGGGTTGTTGCTGCGCAACTTGATCCGCATCCAATCGCCAGGATATACACTTCTTAGTACTCAGCCTCAAGACCCTCCTCACCCTCGAGGGAGTCGGCAGCAACCTCCTCGTAATCGCGCTCCAGAGCAGCGAGATCCTCACGAGCCTCGGAGAACTCACCCTCCTCCATACCCTCACCAACATACCAGTGAACGAAGGCACGCTTGGAGTACATGAGATCGAACTTGGTTGAAAGGGCGGACCAGGCTTCGGCAATGGCAGTGGTGTTGGAAAGCATGCACCTGGGATCACTGTCAGCGACATACATTCTCACTCTTAAGCAATCATGGCAGAACTTACACAGCACGGCTGACCTTGGCGAGGTCACCGTTAGGCACCATCTGGGGAGCCTGGTAGCAGATACCAAGCTTGAAGCCAGTAGGGCACCAATCGACGAATTGGATGGTGCGCTTGGTCTTAAGGGTGGCAACGGCGGCGTGGGCATCGTTGGGAACGACGTCACCGCGGTACAGCAAGCAAGTGGCCATGTACTTGCCGTGGCGGGGGTCACACTTGACCATCTGGTTGTTGGGCTCGAAGCAAGACATGGTCATCTCTTGGACCGAGTTGGCCTCGTGGGCGGCCTTAGCGGCCGAGATCATGGGCGCGTAGGCGACCAGAGGGAAGTGAATGCGAGGGTAGGGAACCAAGTTGGTCTGGAACTCGTTCAGGTCGACATTGAGGGAGCCGTCGAAGCGGAGGGAGGCGGTGATGGAGGAAACAACTGCAGAACACTCGTCAGTATTCTACGTTTCTGACAGGAAGCCTTTTGTTGTCCTTGTTCTTGTAAAACTTACCTTGCGCGATGAGACGGTTCAAGTTCTCGTAGTTGGGGCGCTCAAGGCCCAGGTTGCGACGGCAGATGTCGTAAATGGCCTCGTTGTCGACCATGAAGGAGCAGTCAGAGTGCTCGAGGGTAGTGTGGGTGGTGAGGATAGAGTTGTACGGCTCAACAACAGAGGTAGCGGTCTGAGGGGCGGGATAGACGCAGAATTCGAGCTTGCTCTTCTTTCCGTAGTCGACAGAGAGACGCTCCATGAGGAGAGCACCGAAGCCAGAGCCGGTACCACCACCGAATGAGTGGAAGACGAGGAAGCCCTGAAGACCAACACAGTTGTCGGCAACACGGCGGACCTTGTCGAGAACCTGGTCAATGAGCTCCTTGCCAACGGTGTAGTGGCCACGAGCGTAGTTGTTGGAGGCATCCTCCTTGCCAGTGATCATGTGCTCGGGGTGGAAGAGACCGCGGTAGGGGCCAGTGCGGACCTCGTCGACGACATTGGGCTCAAGATCGCAGTAGATGGCACGGGGGACGTACTTGCCCTGGCCTAGACACATTCCGTTTGGTCAGTACAGTACTCAATAGATGGCTCGGAAGCTTTGTCTGGCCAAGATCGTACCAGTCTCGGAGAAGAAGGTGCTGAAACCATGGTCGGGGTCGGCAGCCTTGCGCTCCTCGGTCAAGTATCCATCGGGCTGGTGAGAGTTGCACGTTAGCATGCTGAACGGAATGAAAACGAAGACGTGTTGGAAGCTTACCTGGATACCGTGCTCGAGGCAGTAAAGCTAAAGGATGTTAACGATTAGTTTGTTTCCTTCGAGCTGGCGTTTCCAAGTTTATTCTCTTCGAGTATCGCTTTGACAAGTCGTTTTCAACAGTCGATTCGGCGATATGGGGGTATCGAAGAGAAACGAGAAACATACCTCCCAGCAGGAGTTGGCGATCTGGCAACCAGCCTGACCGACTAAAGTGACAAGTTAGCAAGTGTTCAAAGGCAAAAGACCAAATAGCCGTTATGGTAGGCGATTGCGGCATGCGCATTGGTAGCTGGGGGCGAGGATGCGGTGAAGGCGGACGCGTGGGGTCGGGGGATCAAAACAAAAGTCGGATCTGCTTACCGTTGATGCTGATGACCTCACGCATATTGGCGGCGAATCGTTTGAGGTTATAGACAAGCGACTGAAAGAGGAGAGCAAAGAAGCAGGGCTCGAGGAGGTGAGAAGCAAGCAAAAAATGTCGTCTTTGCAGCTATCACGAGAGGATGTCGGACAGGAGGTTGAAAAGGTTAGGTTAGGCCTGGCGAGTGCAAGGGGAAGGAATAATAGGTGCTGGGCTCGTGCTTGTGGTCTTTTGGGTGGTGCAGTGGACTGCCAACTGATGGTGCTTGCTGGCAGAACCGGGGCGCGGAGACCTTGGGACGTGAGGTGAGGTGGGACGTGGGACGTGGGACCGGGTTCCTCAGGTGGTCGAGAAATCGGGGTGGGGTAGGAAATTTGGTGCGCCAGGGGCCGTGTAGCGAGTCCGGCGAAGTTTTGTTGATATGAACGGGCCCAAAGTGGTAAGCGCGTCTGCCCACGGTCTGTTGTCGTTGGCGATGCCGTCCAATGGCAGGAGCGCACGACGGGAGGCACCGGGGATGTCTCATTGGCCCCCTGGATGGGGGACTCGGCAGGTACAGGGCAACCTTGGGTACGTACCTCGGAACCTGGTACGCTGGGAAACATTGGAGAAATCGCTCTGCAGGCTACCTAATCTGCCATTGGCAGGCGAGGCTCACCGCACTTCTACGTAGTAAGGTTCCCTCAGGAAAGTTGTGTTAGGCGCTTGGGTAAGGTACCTAAGCATCTCAGGTCCCTTCCATTCTGTCGTTCCTCGGTCGGAGTGACAGCTCTCAGTGCGGGAGGTAAAGGAACTATGTATTTATTTATCACCATGCCTTGAGGTACCACACAGTACAATACGAGAAACCCTCAAGCTGGGGTGGTCCAATCTTTCTTTCCAAGACGTGTTCTACGACGATTAGAAATGGAGACACCAGCCAGGCCTTCCTGCATTCATGTATGGGTACCTAAACACTTGGGCAACTAAACATCGAACAGTCGTTGAAGAACAAGTCTCAAGACGTTCATCCTGCAAAACGCGGAATTGGATGTATGCAGACAAGGGTATAGGCTAGATGGAGATAGTCTTCTTCTGTTTGGCTCTGAGAAGACCTCCAACAGCCTTCAAGCATCAGAAACAAGCTCAGGCAAATGACAGCCGTTGGATAAACCCAAACACGAGAGTCTCTTCATATGGAGCCCGCATCTGTACTCAAGGTCCATGGAGAGTCAATTAGTAAGGCGGGTTCCGCACCTCACCAGGCTCCAGGAATCCTCAATCGCCGTGTGGAAACAGGACCCATCGGCGAACCGCGGTGGCGGTAATAAAGCAGCCGCCTGGCGTTGTATCAAAATGGAATTCGATAAAGACGTTTACTGTTTCATGTGTAGGTAAAGTAGAAGCCTAAGATCTAAGACAGGAGAAGGCAGAAGAGAGAGGGAGAAAAAGGCCAAAAGCCACCTTGAGAGAAGATTGCTAGCAGCCTGCAGAGCAATAGTTAGGTGCTGTGGTAAGGGTTGAAGAATGACAGACCAATCCTCTCGAGCGTCCCAGTCCCCTCACCCTACATCCCTGTCTCACACTCTTCTCGCCGAGTAATCCCTACCTACCAAACAGCTTCACTCAACTACATTGCTGATCACCATATCGTCCGCCACCGGCCACACCTCATCACAACAAAAGCTGTCCAGGCAGCCGATTAACTCCTCAAGGCTTCCGAATAACTTACAACCGGAACCTGCTGCCTCATCGATACCTAGCCAACAGACAGCTATGCGTCTAGCCTTCGCCGCCCGCCTCGCCCTGGCCTGCTGCCTCGATGTTGTTCGAGCCAATACCGAAAAGGTTATCTTTCTTGGGCCCGAGACGGTCAACGTTCCGACCACGCCACCAACAATTCAGGACCTCCGTTTAGACGTCCTCACACCCGATGAGTGGTCCAAACGGGTTCAACTGCCAGCGTCATTTCCAACCTCGGACTCTCCACTGGGCACGACATCCTGGCTGCTGCTCACCAACTTGACCCAAGGCCAGCGTTACGAACTTCGAGTGTGTTGGTCGGCCACGGTACGTTATTTGGTGAACCCTTTTATTATCTGGCATATTGTCTGGCATAGAATTCTTATCATATACAGCAACCCACTGCTTTCGCGCTCGATGTCTTTGAGCTGCCCGCTGTGTGGGATACTCCAGAGCTCATTTCATCATTGGCAACTTACGCATTCTCGCGTCAGTCTGATCAGGATGATGCCGACGCGCACCAAGCCTTGCAGAGCAGAGGACGGGAGCATGAAAGTTCGCTGCTGTTCCTTCGGGTTTCGGCCTCGGCGGACTATTTCACAGACAACAACACACTCATGGCCAAAGTCGAGCCCGTCAGCGTTGACCTGATCCTCGACCCGTTCTTGTTCAATGCTTTGCCACGGTCCTTGATGCCTACCGTCGCTTACATCGTACTCGTGGCGCTTTCAGCTTGGTTTCTATCTAAATGCATTCTCGCTTGGATTCAACCGGTACTCGCCGATGAAGACCGGTCCACGGAAACGAAGAAGAGGCTCTGAGCACGTAATCAATGCAACGCGTCGCCTTCTCCATGCATTCATCTCTTGCTCAAAACGAAAGGACCTCTAACGACAGGAATTCCACTGGGTACAAAAAAGCCCCCGCGTCTTGCTTCAAATAATATCCAAGGCTCGTCGCACATCTCCCATCATCAAGCAGCAAGAATTGAAGGAGGTGACAACGTCCACTTTGCCTACCAAATTGGCATTCCCCTGCGTCATTCTTGAGCATACCTTACTAGGGAAAACGAACGGCTAGGTGCAACAGTCCATGTGTACAGTTGACGTCGAAAGCCGCACCAAGTCTCACTCAGCTACGGGAGCACTCTGTGAATATACGCCTCTTCACAGACATCTAGTAGTGGTTGCCATAGCTGGGTTGTTGAGAAGGCTGGCCGCCGTAGGAAGGTTGGCTGGGATAGCCCCCTCCAGTCTGAGGGCCTTGAGGACCATTGCTATAGGTCGCGGGGTTATATCCTCCGTATTGTTGTTGCTGTTGGTGCTGCTGTTGGTGCTGCTGGTTGTGCTGCTGGTTGTGCTGCTGGCTTGGCTGGGCGCCATAGCTGGGCTGCTGACCATACGAAGGGGCACCACTAGAGGGTGGAGGTGGGTAGGACTGAGCATGGGACTGTTGAGACGGCGCGCCGTAGGAGTTGTTGTGATGAGGTTGTCCTTGGTTTGGCGGAGGGGGGTACTGGTTAGGAGGTGGAGCATACGACTGCTGCGAATGGTTCTGGCCCTGGTTCGGCGCAGGAGAGTGGTATGAACCCCCCGCTGGAGTAGATGAGTGCTGGTTATGCGAAGACGAACCAGGTGGCTGGTAAGAAGTAGGAGGAGCCTGGCCGGTGTAGCCTCCACCTCCGCCGCCACCAGAGGCATTATTGGAGTACCCGAAATCATTGTTGCCCTAGATGCTCAAGTCAGTCATGCGCCTGGCAATCGAGAGTGCACTCTCTGACATACACCGTGGCTCTGCTTGTTTCCGCCAAACATGGTGGCAACGCCACCCATTAGAGATCCAGCCAGACCACCTTGTTGTTGATGACCCGAGGACTGGCCGCCATGGTAATTTTGCGACTGGCCCTGCTGAGACTGCTTTCCGCTCGAGAGCAGGCTTGAAGCTAGAGAGCTGCCAATCTTGCCCAGTGAACTCTTGCCGCCCCCGCTGCTACTCCCGTGACTGTTACCGTGCCCACCGATACCGTTCATCAATTGACTGGCAATGCCACCGAAGGGGCTTGAGCTGCTTTGGTTGCCGGAAGAGGAGCCGTGATTCGAGTTCTTGCCGCTGCCAAGAAGCGCATTCATGGCCATGCTCTGGGGAGGGACCCAAGTCAGTAATCGCATTCGAACGCAAAACAGGAACAAAGCAGCGGGCGGGAAACGCGCGAGTAGGTTATATGGAGAGGGAAAAAGGGTCGCATGACACGTACGCCGAGTCCGCGATCGCCTGTCTGGCCGTCGATGCCCCTCGTACTGGTGGTGTCGGGAGGCATGGAGGGGTTGACGGGTTCGAGGGTGCCATCGGCATGCTTCACCGTCTGGCTGCCGTCAGGATGGGTGATGACCTCGGGTTGAGGAACACCATAGGGGTGATCAGAAGGTTGAGCAGGTGTCGCGCCGGTGGGCGCGGCATCCGTCGGGGTCTCCCATTGCGAGACGCCCGTGGAAAGCTGCACGAAGTAGTACTTCTTGCTCGCACCATCCCACTGGGCAATCCAGCCAGCAGGAAGATGAGGCGGGGCATACGTGGGGCCTTCAGCGCCCGGTGAAGTTGGCCCTGCCATGGGAGAGAGTACAGAGGTCGTCGTCGAGTCGGTATGGGCGCATAAGAGAGCCAGAGGGCGGCGGGTATGATGCTACGGCTGGAGGGGATCGCCAACAATGGACGTGTGGTGTTGACGGAGACGAAAAGTGGCGGGGAAGGGACGTAAGTGCGGTAAGGTATTGATGTATCCAAGGTAGGTAAGTTAAGGTCTGGATGGATACCATACGTCTGCGGGTAGGTGGTGGGCGTATCGGCACTAATACAGGTGGGTGGCCCCAGGATACAGGCAGTGCAGAGTCCAGACTGACTGGATCACAGCCCAGAGGGCAACCCGGGTTTAGGAGCCCAGGGTTTTATAAGGTAGAGTTCCGTTGCCAAATGAGACTGAAAGAGGGGTCCATACATTCATTACTGCTGCGCTCTGACTGACTATTGACCCATTTCCCACAAAGAAGCCCGGGCGATGTGTTCAGCCACCACATGGACTGACATAGGCACAGACAAGACCCGAGTCTGTCGTGAGAGGGCAAGAGCACGGCAGCTGCTTCGGGGCTGGCTTGGCCAGGGTAGATGGCTACCTTATCTTGATGGAAGGTGGGTAAGATACCTTTGGTGACTGGTTTGCGGTGAACCTTGAGGGGACGTGGTAAGGATAACCCGGAAGATGTCGAAGATGAGGGCAAGGAACCTGTGCCTACCTATTTACCTCGCGGATAGAACCAAAGATGCCTTGCCTACCTTACCGTCAAGTTTGAACAGACATCTTTCTCCAGTGTGATGTGCAACAAGGTAGCCAAGTGCCAGACCTGACCAACAATTGGCGACGAAAGGGCACCGCCAGAGGTTGGACAATTAGAACTGAAATGAACGGCCCAGGTTCTCTCTGGTTAGGTACTTAGGTTGGGCGCCGGTGGAGTCGGGTTTGGCTGGGGCGACCATCTACGACCTGGCACCTCATATTCTACTGTGGTAGGTAGATTCCTCTCTGTACCTTGGGTACCCAAGGGTATCAGTGTTTACGATGAACGTGAAAAGAGCCTGAGGAACACGGTGAGTTATTCACAGCCCACTCCGTACCTTCCAAGAGATTGCTGGATTGCGCTTTCCTGACAGCCAGACACAGCCTCAACAGAGTTGCTGAACGTCGCTGCTCAGGCTACCTATCTTCATCCTGGATGTATGCGACCAAGCCACAGCCCACGCATCTGTGGTGAGATGCTAAGGTACCGAGGTGGGCGGCCTCTGAAGCTTGGTTCTCGTTGCAGCTGCCCACCCAAGTTAGCCCTGACAGTTCGAGTCCAGGCCAGGTCTGTGATCTACCAGCCACCTAAGGCCCCCACTGGGAGTGGCTGAGGGCTGCAGACCGAGGAAACCCCGGCCATCAACATCATACTATGGAACTTGACTCTACTGTGTATGGAGGCTTGAAGCACCTTTATGGTATCAAGGAAGAGTCGGATTCAATGAAAGACTATCCGTAGCGACAGAAACACAAACACATAGATAGGTCTCATTCAGTCAAGAAACCATCTGCATATCCTCGCAAGATCATCCCTCTTAAGGGCTATGATGTGGGCTAGCTGGGTCTTCTTGCCTGGAGTCTCGATGGGTGCTGAAAATGAAGACGTTGGAATGAGTAAACAATGCAGCAGCACAAGTTGAATATGTCAATCTTACAGTGGTGATGTATTGTCGTTCGTTGACTAAGACGTCGCGCAAATAATCCAGCACCGCCAAATCGAAAGCTCTCGGGTGTCATCGCCCCTGTATCAACTTCGCCAAAAAAAAGCTTGGTGGGGAGTCGGATGATATCTCAATATCCACGTCCTTCCAGGTGCGGGCAAGTATCGTCCATATGCTTTCATTATGCACAAAGGGGCGAAACTACCTGCCCCGGCGTCATCTATGATATAATTACTTGCCAAGGCTTTACTAATCCCTCGTCGCCGGTGGTGACCAACATCTCTTCGCTCCCCTTCCTCTCCGTACCTGCGTCATATCGTTTGCACCATGTGATGTGGTTGATCTCGTACGGGCCGTGGGCGTTGGGAACCTCTGCTGCAACGCGCCACTTGCTTGATCCCACAGGTACTTCATCCGGCTTTCCGCCCTCGGTGACCTCGTCTGTCTCCATCGGTACGACATCCCCGGCATCATTCGCCTTGCCTTCCTCAGTCTCGTCCTCCTGGTACACTACGATGATGCTGTCGCTCCCCGTACTGGCCACCAGCCCCGTCGTCGCACTCCAAGTCGCCGAGTAGATATCGCGCGTGTGTGCCTTGGGCAGGATCGCCGTGCACACCCATTCTTCGCGCAACGATCTCCGCATTGTATTGGGAATGCCTCCCAGCCCACCGCCGAAGCCTCCGCGGCCACCCGCCTCGTTCTCCTCGTCCTCAACTTGCAGCGTCCATATCCGTATTGTTTGATCGGCCGAGTAACTGAGCAATCTTGGGAAGGCGCCGTCTTCTCTCGGCTTCTCCTCCCATTGCACACCCCAAACGGTGCCCTCGTGGCCCTCCAGCACCGACACGCAGACCCATTCGCCGTCACCATCTTCGCGCCATATGCGCACAGTGTTATCGTAGCTGCTGCTTGCGAGGACGTCGGCGCTGTATCTCCTCCGTGAGTTGCGTCCCGGCACGTCAGGGCACCACGCGATACCCTTCATGTCACCGTTGTGCTCATTCAGCACGGCGACCGTCTCCCACTCGTCATCCCCTTCGGTGGCGCCCACGTCCTCCCATATCCATACCGTTTGGTCTCTGCTGCACGTGGCGAGATATGCGCCGGATGGCGCAAAGGAGACGCCCTTGATCTCTGAGTCGTGGCCCTCGAGTACGAGAGTAAACTCCCAGTCCTTCTCGCCATCGCTATCCGCATCGTCGAGGGAGCGGCGTGCCGCCTTGCTCAGGTCGATTTCGAGGGGTTCAGCGGCGTTGGCGCCGTCGCCAGAAAACGGGAGCTCGCCGTCCCAGCGCCAAAGTCCGGCGGTGGAATCAAAACTACCGGTGACGAGGCACAGCTGGTGAGGAGGGAGGTTGGGTTTCCAAGCTACCGAACGGATGGAGCGGGTGTGACCACCAGTCAGGGTGCTATGGGAGGAAAGAGACGAAAGCGAGAATATCTTGACTGATTTGGAATATGCCGTGGCGATGAGTGGAAGCGTAGGGTGAGGTACGGAGCACCAGGCACGCTCGTAAAGATCGGGTGTGAAGGGCGTGAGAGGGAGGAGCTGGACCGCCGTTTTCGGCGCCTCTACCAACGGACTCATTTTGATGGCGGGTTTGCTGTGAGAGAGAGGTGTTGATGGTGGTTAAAGAGTACGTGCTTCAGATGCAATTCATAAATGGAAAAAATGCCGAGTTTCAAAAGAGAGCGTCAGGATACTGTGATAGACCGGCACATCGAGATACTGCCTATCTGGAGGTGCAATTCCTCAGGGAGGCCGTTGAGTGTGGGCAAAGTACCTATGGGAATGTTTTGTTACGGTGCACGATTATCAACCACTATCAGTAGAGAGATACCTCAGGACCTGATGCTGAGTGATGCAATCAATACCCCTCCACACCCCGGCGGATTTTTTTTCGTAGTGGACGGCGGGCAGTGAGTGGGGGGAACATGCCCCGCGTTGCTTGGGTCCATCAGGTCAAGCCCACCCACCTCAGGCGACAAAGGTTCGGGCAATCGTTGTTCCTACCAGGCGCCCCACTGTGTTCGGACCCGGACCTCGGTCCCATCTTTCGGACCCACGTCCGTCCATCCCGGCAGGTTTCCGTCATTCTATTCTGGCTCTCTGCCGCTCCATGATTCTGGGGAAGGAATTAAGTCCGCTGATAGCTTCTTAACCCATTCGTCGCCCAAATCCTCACAGTACTCACTTTCTTTGCCACTCTCGGCGCTTCCAAGCCTAGGTAGCTTAGACTTTAGGTACCGACCCGAAGCTCCCTTCTTGATCGGACCCAAGCAATCTCAATAGCTTTATTGTAGGACGTCTCAAACAGACAATACCGAGATCAGTAGCACACAGAGAACGACTAGATGGGCCATGCCAGGCAAGTAGTCCAACTACCATTGGCCATTCTTCCTTGTGCAGAGTAACAAATAAGTCCCACATGTCAAGTCAAGACGGGCGAGAAACAAGCTTGTGCGTATTGTGCAACCAAAATATCGAGGTTCTCACGGTTGTCAAGCAGCGATACTCACTTTGAAATACCTTTTGAAGACGATCATCAAGCCAAGATTCTGCTGCCTGTTTCCATCCTTATCTAGTCTATCGTAGAAGGAAAGAAAAGACTAGAGGGGGCATCCAGCTTTATGGAGACTTTGGAAGGTACCTCGTGGAGTACACACATGTCTCAAACCTCGGCTCTCAGCACCTAGTATAGGTAGCCTCACAAGCGACTCAGAACGCCCACCGTTGGACTACATGAGTCATGGTGGGTTGTACATTTCCCCAGCAGCGCAAGACAATCAGTCGATCTCTATTGTTCGATACGTCAAAGAGAAGCGGCCCGTTACACTGACAAAGACATCAATTCCCTAGTCCTGGAGTTGACGTGCGGACCGATCAAATATCAGGTCATGTAAAGAGACTAGGTAGCGAGCTAGACTTCAGCCAGCCAGGCGCCAGAAAAGATGGCATCGAGGTTGTAAACGGAAAAAGGAACCCGAACCCTACTTCATTCCCCATCAGACGTACATACAGAACCGGCGCACCGACTTGTCCGTGTTGCTTTCTCTGGTCAGCTGTCGTCCGGTGTGGTGAAAGGGGCACACTCCAACTTGGACTCGTCCGACTGGCGATCGTTGAGACGGCCGGGGCATCCGGCGCTATTCAGAATTCTACGCGCCCCCCATCGACTGATGTCAGCAGTACCAGCTTCGCACCATCTTGCCACTAGCTCAGGGGACAGACTCTCGACCGAACATATCTTTTCTTGAAGGGTCGGATCCGATGGCTGGCGGAAGACTACAATGCCTCTGAAGTGCTCCGAAAATCAATCGCTCGCGTGCTTC